AAGTATCATCTACGTAGCGTTTCCAGATCTTAGGCTTGCAAGGTGCGGACTCTATTGCTTGTTCTTCAATACCTCCATGTAGAGATTAGCAATAACCGTTTTGTGTTGATAAATATCTGCTCGTATGAAGTCTGAAAAGAGTGAAAAAAGATTAGCCGAAAAAAAACAGTAGAAAATTCACAACTAAAGAGGTAGGAATCGAAAACACTTGCAATTTACACTCAGTCCATTAGTCTCAGTCTGTCAGATTTTTTATGTTTCTTGCTTTTAACAGTCGACATATGAGCTTTGTTTAGCACGTCCCCTCTCGCTCCTTCGCAGAAAGACAGAATCTACAAAACCAAGCCGAGACTTTGAGATCAAAGGTAACAGTCTTATTATTAATACATACCTCATATAAACATCTTATTAAGCAAGGGTGAAGTCACTGAGCGCATTACGTTGGGGATCGTATTTTCCATTCCTTTAAGTCTTTATTTTTGTGTCCAACGGAGAGTAAAACACGCAGAGCCGTAAAGTTACTTGCGATGCGGACTANAACCAAGCCGAGACTTTGAGATCAAAGGTAACAGTCTTATTATTAATACATACCTCATATAAACATCTTATTAAGCAAGGGTGAAGTCACTGAGCGCATTACGTTGGGGATCGTATTTTCCATTCCTTTAAGTCTTTATTTTTGTGTCCAACGGAGAGTAAAACACGCAGAGCCGTAAAGTTACTTGCGATGCGGACTATAAGATTAATAAGATGTTTAGTTTTGTGAATAACTGCAGGGGCAGATCCGTATACGCACATACACAAATCTTGTCGACGCCGGCCAGTATGGACCTTTGGGTGCTGTAATTGGTTGATTTGCTATCCCTGCCGTAAGTAATAGGACTCAAATGCAACAGTCATCGGCAGCTCGCTGAATTACGTAGCCAAATTAACTATTTACCTGAAGCCGCTATTCCAGCATAAGGAGTCCTGCATGTATGATCGTTACGGTAAGTAGCTGCAACAAACATGTGAATTCAGGCAAATCTTTGCTTGGATTGTCCTCACTTGCCTTTCAGCATGTGGTTGTGTTACTCGCTTGGTGTGTCACGCGATAGCACCTCTATACCATAGCATGGTAGTTGGCACGCGTTTCATACCAATCCGAGCATCTGCTACATTGCAAGAATGAGATTAATAATCTGGTAATAATAAATGCAGTTTAAACTTTTCTCGGTGCCTTTTCTTCGCACGTTAGATTTAATAACAATTCGATTCTGTTTGCAGAAAAAGGATACAAAACCATCGTATGTCAATCGATCTGGCAGCCAATCACAGTCAAGAAAGCAGCTGCTCTTACAACTTTGATTGGACAAAGACACATCAACTTCTTCTTCAATTGACGCTTTCGAGCGTTCTGCTAGGCGAGAACAGCATATGTGCACTTTAAGAGGTCATGTGGCCTCGCGTCTGCAGACAATGAAACTTTCAAGTACTCTTGCGTTAGTTTTGTAAACGTCAAGAAATTTCCCGTCTCCGCGTTAGAGAAGAGGATTATCAAGTAAGGGCTTATTCAGTAATTAAGTTTGGATGTAGCTTGCCTGAAAAAAGCGGCGACGAATATTTCAGTTCCCTTTTTGAATCTGAATACATCGGGACAAGAGTTCACTAACTATTTCCAACAACGAAAAATAAAGCTAGTCGTCCTGCCTCAACCAAACTAGGAAAACAGTCGCCTCTCGTCAAACGGACCGGGAGCGATGAGAGCTAACCTGCGAATGAATGTTCTTTCTTTATTAACCCTCTTACGCCACTGCGAAAACAAAATCGATCGAGCTGTGACTAAGCAGTTTGATAGCAGTCCTTTATATAGAAAGCCATCCTTGTAAGGTAAAGTGAGAACTAATTTTTTTGTTGTGATATCGTCAGTTGTTCCGACTATTTCACCGGAAAACGACAAAGTGGAGAACAAGCGCCGTTTGTAACTGCCACTTCTTTTAAGTGCCGCCAGCCTAAATGGTTTGTCAAATTTTGTCAGTTATTCACAAGCGTACCGCGGAAATGAACTATACAAGGCAGGGTAAGATGTTATGTATTTACAACGGTGATACAATAAGGTCACTCCAGTTGGTGGCCATAACTAGAACCAGAACTAGAAACGGCACCCTCAGGGTTTCCCTAACCACTCGAGGCCATGCTGCCTCCTCAAAAGTGAAACTGCTGCAAAAAAAATAACTCCATTCTTTTTCAAGTAAAGTAGTAACTTTGGAAAAGCGTTGCTTTAAAAAATAAGCAGCTAGGCCTTCATTCGGCACGCGCATATTTTGATTTTTGGGGACGAATTAAGGTCCTTATTTCAAGAACAAAGTGCTTATTTTAGTAATATCAACACGTTTGCTTAGCAAACTTTTTACAAGTAAATCAGAGTAAAAACCTTAGAGCCCAATCGATTGGTATATATAGTGTTTCTCAGCTTCTTTCTTATAAATCAATAAATGTTATAAGTCTACAATGTCCACTGTCTGTTTCATATTCATTCGTTGATAAGTTATTCACACTGAAACAGTCATCAGGGACAACACCTGTTATTCTCAAGACGCGTTTTCAAGCAACACTATTACGATGTAGCCTCTGGCGATGTAGCTTCTTCAACTTAATTTGCACAACTTACACGACTTCTCTTCAGCAGCGAGAAGAGAAAGCGGCACCACACGTAAGTCGCATCTACAGGCTGCGGGTCCGACCGACTGCGCACCAAAACCCTCGCTGCATGCACTGTGGTCCAATGTAGCTAACTTTTTAAATAAGTCCTGGAGATCAATTCTAACGCTTTTTAACAACCACATCACTTTTGTTGTTGTTGTTGTTGTTGTTGTTGTTTTTTTTTTTTT